GAAAGTGAGTTGAGAAATGTGTTGGTATCATACTATCAACACATGTTTTTTAAGTGATAAAATGGTATACCTCACAATTTAAGCAATATTGCGTACTTCCTCTGTGGTGTTTGATTTGATATGTAGCAGTTTGGTTTATAGAACTCAAAAGCAATGTTTATTTTATTTTATTTTATTTTATTTTTGGCAGACGAAGGATACAGAAGATGCACCACTTTTAGCAAATGGACATCACCAAGATAAAGAGAATGGTGATACCAAGAAAGCTAATGGGGTTCCTACTGCCACCAAGAATACTCATGCCTAGAACACACTAGCTCACCACTCCTTGTGGGTAGCATGAAGGGATGTCTAAAAGTCCTAGTTGTTTTATATCATTCTTGATTAATTGATTTTGAGTGTATATGTTTTTATTTTATTTATTTGTTTTGAAGAACTCAACACGTCCAAGCAGCAAATAATCTTGGATTAGTAAGAAATTTTGTTACAGAAGTTACTTATAAACAGCATTTTCCGATAAACCAACTTTTTTTTTTCAAACCAGAAAAAGACGGATATCACGTACGGGGACCCTGAGTACTCACACTACTACTACTAGTTAACCACGAGATCTCTTCTTCCTCTCTCTCGATTAAACAGAAACATAATTATAATCCTTTGATTTAGGAAGGGAGCATCATATTAATTTGGAGTTTGTAGAATCCTCACCTCATGTACGTTGCTTTCATGGTGACGGTCTTACTCAACCGTGCTTCGCGTATAGATTTCATGTTGCCAAATTTGCATGGTTTGAATTAATTTTTTGATGTCCGGTGAAGTCTGTTCTTGTGATTTGTTCGATCGATCCTAGCACGTGTATATAAGAAATAACCTTTTTTTTTAAATATATATATATATATATATATATATTCAGAGGTGTGATGAACTGCCTCGTTAAAACCTTGCTAATTAAGAAAACCAAAATGGGATAAAGCCTAGTCAAGTAAAGAGCGTAGCACGTATAAATTCATTCATTAGTGCTAGCTGCTCGATTTCCTTCACGCTTTATACCCGTTCAATAGTATAAACTCTTATCAGGCTTTTAGCCCACGGGCTTAAATGACAGGCTGAATTACCGACTCCGAATGGACTTTGTGATAACTGAAATGAGAATGGGCCTAGTCGTGTTTTACTCTGTTAATCCAGAACATGCTACCTATCTAACGAAAAGAAGAAGCGGGGTAAAACAAAACAAAAAAAAAAGAACCATTTTTTGACATCAATCTATTTCATTAGATTTCAAAATTTTAATTTTCAAAATATGCGAAATGATTCGAATATAGTTATATGGAAAAAGTCTCTGCTGCCTGTTCTAGCTCCGGCAGCTTAATTTGGGTTGTATTTGGGCTTCTTTGGGCTCTTCAGTATCTTTTGAATAACTTTTCGTGTTTTGTTTAATCAAGCGATTAAAGTTCCGACACGGAAACTTCCAAATCACGGAGTCAGCAACGAAGAACTAATTAAGCTTAGCTTTGTCCCTTGACTTTTGGCATCAACCTCGTGTGATGACTCTCTAGCTAGCCTTCCATTATTAATACTAAAAACATATGTTTTCTCTTCAAATTAATCAGTGTTCTATCCTAATCTGAACATGCTCTCATGTGAGAAGGCGTGGGGAGAAATCCAAGTGGGCTTTCGTCTATTTGACTCTTCCTACTCAGATTTGAGGACCCAAGACAAACTACTTTTTTTTTTTTAATTTTTTTTTTTTTTTTGAGTTGAATAGTCCACTTCTCGCTTTGGAACCATGTCTTCTCAATCTGTCCGTTGCCTCCTCTTAAATGACTTAATTAATTAGTTTACTAATTTAATTAACTAGGGCTCGTTTGGCGCCACGAAGGTAGGCTTGGTGCTCAACAAATAATAGATAATGGAGGTAACTTGCATGGAGATGGAGAAAACCATGGTCGGTCAAATGTGAGCATGCTTTGAGATTGGGTGTTGGGCTGTCGTTGGCAATCCCGTTGAATAATTTCATGTCTGGATGTCTCTTAATATATTCACAAGTAGAAGGTAATCTAAGATTAAAAATAATTAATGTTGGATCAAAACCACATGGTGCAGAGATAGTATTCATACGTAGTGCTTTTATTTTTCCCTTTAATTGTGAGGCTAATCATAATTTCTCTTCAACTTGCTTATGAGGCTAATGAGGCTAATCATATTTCTCTTCAACATGCAAATCGTATTTCAATTGTTAACCGCGCGTATCATAATTTCTCTTCAACTTGCTTATGAGGCTAATCATAACTGTTTCTATTGTTCTGTGGCTCAACCCAATGATGCATCTAGGATACTTTTATAAAATAATGGCATATATACTTGCAAATTTACCTCAAAAACCTTAAACAAATTTTCCTATGGATTTTTTTTTAAAACAAATCAGCATATCTTGTGCATAATTAGTTAAAGCGAAAGGTCATCTCATATTAGAAAATTTCGCAATAGTTTGCGCTTACTGAATAGTTAGTGCACCCGATGTCTAGTTGGTGACATTTGGATCGGGTTGCATGTTGCTCCAAGTATGACGCGTTAATTAGTCGGTTTGTCTTTTTAATTACAACAATATTATAGAATTGCAACGACATCTTAGGCTCTGAATCATGTACTTACCGCTTTCATTAAAGATGAGCGTGGTTGTAAGCATACATTAAATATGTGTCTAACAACAGTCACATCAACGTTTTTCCATAGTGATTATGTTCTAACGTACTTTTTTTTTGTGGTAAGAATGATATAAAAAAAAAGTAGATGAAATATAGTCAAGTTTTAGTTTCTAACACTTTATAATAGGATAGTTGGAGAAATAAGTTATCTAGACACTACTACGTTGCATCTCTAACTTAATGTAGTTTGTAACCGCTGTAATTATTAGGGACACACTATCTATTCAACTATAGATAACCAAAGACACTCAGTAAATTAATTGCATCAACCAACTGATCACCTTTAAAATCCACTATTTGGAGTAAAAAATGTTCAGCCTTTAATGTACCATTTATTCCAGTGGAGACTACAACTAAAATCCACTCTTTTCACATTTATTTGACAATATAATTAACAAAAACCTCAATAAATGAAACCTAACATGAAGCCAAAATTGAAGTCTAGAATAAAAGCATAGTTGCAAGTCGTAAGCTATTTTTTGGTGCTAAAGAGATTTAAATAGAGGCGGGGCTTGGCGGTGGGGGGTGGGGGGAGGGGGGTGTCGCGTGCGGCCTACCGTTACTGAGAGAGGAGCAGAGGGGTTGTGTGGCGTGGGTGGTGGGTGTCGGTGGGTGGTGTGGGGGGGGGGGGGGGGGGAGAACACGCAGACCGGGCGAGGGACTGCGGATCCAACTCGCCGCGGGGTGCGCGTGCGAGGCCGAACCGGTTGAAACGGGTGCGCGCGCGTTGCGAGTTCCAACATGCGCACCGTGCCAGAGGGGGCTCCCAGTTGGCATGTGGGATGTGATATATATATATAACCCTACAAATATTACGAAATTATACACTCATATCACATGCATTAATGTGCATGCTGGGTCACCGTTAATACCAAAGGCCAACCTTTCCACATGGTTACCCCTCATAATAGAAATTTTATCAGAACAGCTGCCTGCATATAAGCAAAATGTTCTTATTTATACAGATAGAGAAAAAAAAAAGAGAAAATTAGTTAACTGTTCTTTGTATATGGATCAGAACAGTCGCTTGCATAACTGTTCTTGTAGTTTTTCCCATGAAAGTCAACTCTAGTTGACTAATATTATGGAGTTCTCTTTCATTTTTTTAACGTACAAATTCTCTATTTTCTGTTTACAAAGAAAAAAGGTCCTCCTCCTACTTACACGTGTAAATTTCACAAAGCCCCCGTAAGTTTCCTTGTCCCACCCTAACATTTAATTCTACAGACCCCTGTAAATTTTTGATGGATTTTTCATATAACCGCCTTGAATTCCTTTTGTTCCACTAAATCCCTTACACATTTTTCAATTTAACCCCACAAAACACCATCACATCTAATATGCCTGGAATGTGACAAAAAAGACGAAAATACCCCCAACCCTAAAAATCACCCTTTTAATCCTTTTCATTTTTTCATTAATTTTTTTTAACAACTAAGAGATATTTTTGCAAGTTTGACCATGTTCTTAGATTTAATGGGGAAATACTTCTAGCCTCCAAAACCAATGAAAACGTGCCCCCCTCCCCCCAAGACTTTTTCAACGCTCTCAAAATCCCCAAATTCGTAAGAACTATGCACTGAGCAACCAAAACACAAAGCCCAAGAATTTTACACAAGTAAAGACTATAATACCATTTATCTCTCTTATGGGCATTGATCACCTCCTCCTCCCTCCGGTGCTTCTCCCTGATATCCCTATCCCTAACCGCCGTCGTCCCCTGCAGCGTCCGCAAGCTCAAGTCCGACGAGCGCCGGCTCTACCTCATCCACCTCCTCCCTTGACCTCTTCCCCTTCCTCCGCTCCAACCAGGCCATCGTCGAGTCCATGGACGCCGAGAAGGCTGTCCACGTCATCAACCATGTTGGTGCCAACACATTCACATGCATGCCCATATGCCCACCTTCACAAAACTCCAATACCCTAGCTCCTTTAAAACCTTAAGCTCCTCTTCCATCTCTCTTCACAGAAGTTCATCTCTTCTTAATTTGAGAATTAATGGCAGCTAGGTGTGTCTGCACTTCGTGGAATTAATTCTTGCTACCTACTGGTTGAATTAATGCTAGCTCTTGGTGTTAAAAGAGCATGCAGGCTTGTTGTTGCTCAAATTGTGGTGTGATTCTGGTGTGGTGGTGTTCAACTTGTAGTGGGAGATAGAAGGCTTGATTGTAAGTTTTTACCTTCAAACCTCTAATTTTACTCTTAAACCAAATGGTTTTATTTACATGTTGGTTGTTAAGGTTACGTGTTGGTTGTTAAGGTTACGAGTTACTTGTTAAGGTTTTACGTGTTGGTTGTTAAGGTTACATGTTGCTTATTAAGGTTACGCGTTGGTTGTTAGGGTTAAGCATTGATTGTTAAGGTTATACGCGTTGATTATTAAGGTTAGGGGTTGCTTGTTAAGGTTACGTGTTGGTTGTTAAGGTTAGGCGTTGCTTGTTAAGGTTATACGCGTTGGTTGTTAAGGTTATTGGTTACTTGTTAAGGTTACACGTTAATTGTTAAGTTTACAGATTGGTTATTAAGGTTAACTGTAACCTTAACAAGCAACTCGTAACCTTAACAACCAACGTGTAATCTTAATAGGTAACATGTAACCTTA